CGCCCTGCTTCAAGACAACGTTCCAGTGATTTGCTGCATTGAACTTCGAGAAGATGACGGTACCTGCAGGCTTTTCGCACGGGTCGTTGGCGAATGCCCTCGGCTTTGACGCACGTGAAGAGATACTAGGTGGCAGGGCACCGGCACTGGCGAGGGTGGACAGCAATGGTGTTACCAAACCGCCCACCGTGACCATAGGCTGCGAGATGTAAGTTCTTGGAGCAAGGCAACATAAGGCAACCATGAAGCACACTGCCGAACCGGATATTGCAGAAACTCTGAGACGTCGGCATGTCGTCCTGCGTGAGTTCGTAAGCATCAACGACGGAGCCAACAGCAGCCGCGACGTTGCCCCTGCACATTTGCATGCCCAGCACTTGGTTGACATGCCTGCCGCCTGCCTCTTTTGAAAGCTTGCCTTGTCAGTGGAATGGATTTCGGCTTGCCAGTGCTGCCGGAGGTTCTTAGCAGCAGCACGGTGTCCTGATGTGGGCACTGTCAGCATGACAACAAAAAAACAAATACATGTATGTATATCTATATACAGAAAATAGCGCACTCCCTCTCTCTCTCTGTATGTGTATATATATATATATATAAATAAATAAATAAATAAATATATATATATATATATATATATATATGAGACAGAGCTGCCAACGAGACACGACCGGAACACGCTGAGGCATGCTACATAGCAATTTGGCTTCTTGTCCTTTGGAAGCGTGCTTCTCGACATATGAATTGGCGCTTCCTGAACAGGGACAGGCACAACATCGGTCCGGAAACTAGGCCTGCCCAAGGCATGCTGCTGCGTGTGGGTGCAGGCGCTTTGTCGTCCTTGTCTCGCCGAAGCTTCACCGACGGGCAGGCAACGTCTGCGCAAAAAGACAGCCGCCAGGAGGGTACGCCTGGGCAGGCGTTTTGCATTTTGGGCCATGCGAGGACTCGAAAGCTGAATGCCTCGTGCTGCCGCCACGCCTGCGAAGGTGGTCACCTAATTGCTTCGCTTCACGAAAGCTTCGCTCTGTCATTGCAAAGTCTGAGTCTGAGCCGTGCGCGGCATCTCGGCTTTGCAGGTCCAGAGATGTCGCATCGATCTCTGGAAAGATCGCAACCTCCACCTGCAGGAATGCACGCCGTGCCTTCCTCTCCTACTCGACATACAGGAAGGATGTCCATCCGGCGCGACTTTCATTCTGGGGGATGGAGAAACAGCCCCGTATCTTACACAGCATCGAAGAGCGGCTTCAATCCCAAGGTCATCATCATCGTCTACTGTTGTCGCGCTCTCATCCCTCTCCCCCCACTTCACGCCCCAGGCCCTAAGCGAACTTGTGATCGATGCAGTATTCTCTCTCTCTCTCTCTCTCTCTTCCATCAGCCTGCCGAGCATCACCAAACACTGTAAGACACTTACTTTCGCTTGCTTCAATCTATCGCAAGACTGTTAATCCTAGTTGTTTATCTCGCAAGGTCCTTGTGAGTCATCTCTCTCGGCCAGTGGGTTGGCCCCGCTACAGAAGCCAATCCAGGCCCGGAAGCACATACACTGCTTCTCGTCGGTAACTCGAGTCCAGCACCATACTCTTTACTTCTGAGGAACCCATTCTGGCCCATTCTACAACAGTATTTGCAGACACGGCTGCTCTCTACTTTGATGTTGGCTTTGACAAAGCGCAGTTTGGAGTGTCGCAAGCGATTATGTCGAGCCACTGCAAGTGCTGAGAGAGACAGTCAGCTGTTGGGCAAGGCAGCACCCAGACGAGCGTTGGATTGCTGAGGCAGCCGAAAATACTGGTACCAGTCTGCTGCTTGATCCAGACTTGATTGGGGAACCGGATGCGCACCAGACGCAGCAAGCGGCCAAAGGCGCTTTTGCGTTGGGGCAGCTGCCAGCTTGGCCCAGACTTACGCCCTTCCGATTGTCAACCAGTGCGGCTGATCAGGCGTACCACCTTGAAGCTCCACCGCCAAGCAGAATGCCTCCAGATGTGGCCGTCAGCATGCCGTTGCGACAAGCTCAAGGCTATAGCTGCTGGCTAGAGGATGTTTGTGGTTTTAGCCCAGGGTTTAGAGGGTGTCGCTGCAACAGGGAGAGGCTTCCGGATTGACTGCTCCGATTTTGCGGCCGCGCTGGGCCCAGCCGCTGAGTGGCTGATCCAGGCAGGCTGCATCTTTTCAGCACAGGGCTGCTCTTCCTCAGCCGTCTCTGTGTCACCTGAATTTATTCCGCTTTGCTAGGCGAGCGTCTTGACGACTCTAACGCAGAGGATGTCAAAAAATTGACAAAGCGCGCTTGCGTCTGTGGGTGTGAGGTGGGGCACCTCCAAGCCCCGTGCACGAGCGTGTTTTAGTGGGTTTGAGGGACGTCCAACGGCTTGTGCCCTCGAATCTACCGCATGGAGTGTAAGGAGGGTACCAGCAGCGAGTTGCGGTGTTGGGGAAACCCCGTTGCTGGATAAGCCGTGTTGCGGTGTCACTTCGCGCTGCTTCGCTCGGATAACTAGGTGCGGCTGCCCGGCAACAACACGCTTCACGAAGACGGTCTTTCTTTCTTGTAGCCAGGAACCTTGTAGCCTAGAACCTGCCTCAGCGCAGCTCTGCCCAATCATCCACACATCGCATGTCCGGGCATCCCGCCGGGACTGGGCAGACAAGCTCGGACTTGTGAACTTCACTTCAAACTGATTCGCAATCTACTTAGTTATGACAAGATGTATGTCAATGTATCGTGCTCCCACTGTCCACGGCTCTGGTGGGCTGGCAGTTACTATCAAGGACGGATGCTCAGCATGACCAGTTCGCGAAAGGCACACACGACGATTGTCTCTCCCTCCCCTTCACAGAAAACATCATGGGCACGTGGGAGACATTTCAATGCCACATCTAACCCCGCTTGATTTATGGGTCTCTTGCAGCACCACTGTTTCTTTTCTTCCGTCGAATTGACATCAGGGATATTCAGGGAGGCACGCGCTGACAAGCACTCGCGCATGGTGCAGAAACAATGCCACTTCTTTTGTGCGAAAACCTTCCGATCGGGAAGCGAATCGTCTGAGGCCAAGGCAAGTTCGAAAGCATCGCTGAGTTCTTCGTCCGACAGGAACTGTGCATGGATGTTCAGCGGCATCGCGACACAGCGCCTCCAACGCGTGCTACATTGTTCAATCTCTTCGAGATAGAGGAGTGAGTGGAAATGAGTGGAAGTTGACCGCTGGTTTCCGACGATGGTTTCGGATTGTGGGGCCGCAGATGCTGCGAGTCTTTTTCCGAGCTCTGCGTATCTCTCGTTTCGTTCAGAAGGATTCAAGTCCAAGCGGCGAACCATGCTTGGTCGCACCCAGCAAGGCGATCAAGTAGTGCACGGGCGTTCCGAGCGGAAAGCATAAACCCACGAGCAGCAAGCAGCCGTCCCTGGGCAAGATCCGTCAAACATGACAAAATCCTGGCTGTAACAGTCAGAGACTCATAGAGTTATAGCTTCAGCTCTCGAGAGCGACAAACGCAAACCTTTGTTGTTACACGCTTTAAAATGCTCTTGAAGACTTTCTCATGCGACTGCTCCATACCTGGCTTCTCTGGATTACAGCAGAAAGTCGTTCGCCTCGCGAGTGTAGGCCCATCCGTAGATGTGCCGACACACATGATAAATCAGTATCTTGCCTAGTGGGGCAAAACGCCAGAAAGTTGTTGTTCGCAGTGTAGGTTCATTTACTCATGCACTCGCAAACGTGCAAACCCACAATGTTAGGTTTGCGCTTGCTTACAAAGTTGCGTCTTATGCTCGCCTTGTCGGTGCATTCATGCCTGCACGAGGAGACTAGGGGCAGAGCTCAGAACTCCAGACTCTTAAAGCCTCAACCCCTACAGCCCCAAACCCTGAAAACCTACATGCAAACTTGACACAAGCTCTTAAAATCATGCCGCGGCAACACTTTACAAGGCCACAAGGCCCCTGCATACCGAAACAACTTGAGAAGTGGCACGAAAGCTGGGGCAGAAGAAAGAAACAAGAGCCGAGAGTGCTCGGGCAGCGTAGATGCAAGCTCGTACGTAGTGCCATGAAGCTTAAGCCTGCAAGATGACAGCGGTGTTCTGCTTTACCCCGGCCCCACATTAAAAATCACCCTTGTCGTATCGTAGTGCCTTGACCGACCTCATTGCGGGTCGGAGTGTCGCTGCAATACTTCGGCCATCTACGGTCAGCTGTTGATTTGTCCTGGTGGCAGCGTAGCTTTATACTGATGTTGCTGAAACAGATGAGCCATGATGGACCTTGTGGTGGGGGGGCTTTGAGGTTGGGGGGGCGGACCTCTCCTTACTTGCTCTAAATCAATCATTGGCGTGGTGGCGGAGGAGACGCCCCCCCCCCCCCTTCGAGTAAGTATTGAGAACGGACCAGATAAGGTCGTGGATGCATTTTTGACCTAGTTTTCTACTACCTCAGTGAATGGTAAACGACAACTCCCGCAAGCTTTGCAGAGCTAGCTCTCGCGACTTCAAAGAACCCCAAACGCCCAAACTCTCTGGAGAACCTTCTAGCGCGATCAAGCCTCTCGTTGTGTGGCTCTCTGGTCTCTGCTTGAGACTCGCATTTCTCGCATTTCGGGCAGAGAGTCACGGTCGGACGCAGCCCATGTTGGGTGCACCTAATTAAACTGTTCGCCAACAATAGCGTGTGCACGAAGGAAATCGACTCAGAATATCCCCGGACACAAACCTGAAGGCAGGAGCAAGTGCAGGCAACTAGAGATGTAACCGGCAACAAGGAAAAGCAGTCTCTAGGAGCCCCTCACCCCGTTGTGCTAGGTAACGGCTCCATGATCTACCACGAAAGCCGTCCCGTGGACAAAACTTTCAGCCTGCCGGGCAGGGTAGTGACTTGTTAAACACTGCGGCAGTGAAACGTGCCTGGCGCAGAAATCCAAAGTGGTATGCACTCAGACAAACACATGAGTGCCTCAACTCATGCGTTTTGCGTTGCTTTCACACTCCATCTAGGCAAGCCAGCCATACTCCAAGCTCGTGAGAGCCAATGGAAGGCTGACCCTCGATTCCCCATTGCCGCCAGGGTCGAAGATGAAGTCGTCAGCCCAGTCACGGTCGGTCCGCATGCACTTCGAGACGTGGCGGGAATGGATCTCAATCATCTTACTGCGCATGGTAACGTCCTTGTGGGCCTCTTGCTCGAGGAACTTGCCGGTGTGCACGTAAAAGGCCTTGTAATCGTCCTGTCTGAGAGTGACCGTTGTGGACATCCAAGGGCTCTTCTTCACCAGACACTTCCGGATGAACCGAAGCATCCGGTTCCGCATAACAGGCTCCCGAGAGACTTGGTAGGCAAAGGATTCGAGCCCACCAAAGTGCCACTCAGATGTCGGTCTAACGCAATGATGCATACAAGACACTCCGCGTGCATGCAACTCACTGGGCGTGTCAATCCCACCGCTCTTCGGATTCTGGTCAAGCAACTCCCAAGTTCCAATCCAAGCCCTAGTCATACATATGTCATCATGCATCTGCGTATACAGTTGCCTGCCACGTCCGTGGCTCAGCGGAGCATCACAAATCGCACATTGATCCTGGAGAGCTGGCCCTTCTTCACCACATGCCAACGACTCCAAGTTGTTGCTAGCTGGCAGGACCTTGGCTCCTGCCGGCCTCTGCACCACATCTGCTTCCATGTCACCGTCGCACTGAAAAAGCAGAGGGTTTTGAATTGCATCTAGGCCAACACTGCAGCTTGCTGTATCAGCAGTGCTCGAAACATTCCCAGTAACGCAACACGTGCTTCCCCATGGGCGATCACGGCTCATTTCAGTTACACCCACACCCGAGCAGAGCACGTCACCCACGACACATGCGTCCAGCACTCCGCAGATGCAGAAGTCGTCATAAGAGGGCCACTCTAAAGGATCATTAACAGGCGAGTCGTACTTCGGCCATGGCACGCCTCCACAAGTCTGACAATACTTCCGCCTGGGGCCTCTGCACCAGTTTGATTTCTTGGCTCGGTCGTACCACTTCCTACTTCCCATTGCGAGATTGTGGTACTGGGGCTTCAGCAATCGGCGCGTGTCTGGTCCACTACGCCTCGATCCGAAACCCTTCTGCTTGAGACATGAAAGTACATTTTGTGGAACAACAGGTTGACGTGTTCTGGTCTGGCACAGACAGCGGAAGGATGAGGTCTGCAATGCTAATGCTTGTAGTCTGAACGAGTCTAGTAGTGAGCTACGCAATATGTAACTTCGCAAAACGGCGCTGCTACAACTGGAAAGACTGCCCATCTTCAATCAAGCAGTTGATGCATTTCCCGAATCAAGGATTCGGTGCATTTCGGCACATTACTGGTACTTTGCATACAGATGAATAATACACTTTAACGGCATTTCAGCGCCTTTTGTAACAGTAACACCCAATGCAACAGGTATGTCACGGGTGCAGGCCGCGGCCCTATTGCAAGCAGAAACATTCGCACACAAATACCTCCGGAGTGATCGCAGGGACATCTTCTGCATTTGCGGATGCTATGCTGTTGCCGAGGTTCGTCCGAACCCTACCATAAAGTTATAGGCGGGTGCGCCGCATGGCAAGCTTTCGAAACAGGCAGGCCAGCAGCAGAATCAGTAGCCGTGAGGTGCAAGGCTTGACAGAATAATCGAAACCCATGCCAGCAAACCTTGAGGCAAGCGTTCGGAATCACTTCTGAGGAAGACATGATCCGCTGAGACCGTTCTTAGTAATTCTAGTTGTGCAAGCCAAAGGGTCTCCGTCTCGGGTGAATTGGCGACATCTCGGGCAAAGTCATCCTCGGCATATTGCAAAACTGCCACTTTGCAGCTCCAATGCAGCGTCCTTCTGTGCGCATGATCAGAGTCTAGACATGTGACAACACGGAGATGAAGTCGTTAAGAGAACTGCCGAACGTTGCCGAACGCTGCAAACCTCAAAAGCTGGGTCTTGGAAAGACTGATTTTTCCTTTCAGGCACACTCATCACGCACCCCGATGCAAAGGTTTAGGAAACAAACAAGTCAAATTGTCGAGCGTACCTGCTTTACATAACCCACATCAGCCTTGACAATGCTATTTGAGAGCATCTTTAGCTGGGCGTGGCTTTTGTGTGCGAGCCAGGTGCCACCAATGCGTTGAGCTGGCTATACGAGATGGTGGAGAGCGCCTCCCCAGTCTGCTGGTCAACGTGAACGAAGCACCGCTTCCTTGGCATCTGGCATTCCTGCTCGCTTCGTGCGAGTCATCTGGTCCGATATGCAACGGTATGCTTGCATGTGTGTGTGTGTGTGTGTGCATGTGCGTGTGTGAGCCGCACGTCAAGGTCATCGAGTAGGCTCGAACATGTCGTCCGATTCGGGTAACTGCTGTTTTCTTCTGCTGCTGAATCAATAGCTAATAGGCAGTCGCAGTCGTTGTTGCCTGTCAACCCTTGTCGCTGCCGCACGGCTGCATATCTATACGTCTTTGATACAAGTAGGCTTTGCCAATGATGCACTGTGTCTCTAAACTTACACCTGAATCAGCCCAATCACCAGAAAGCATTCCAGAGATAACTAAGAGCAGACATTGAAAGCGTGCATTCGACATGTAGCTGAGCGATCAACCAAGGCTGCTATCCCATTGACGGTCTGCACATAATGACATAACGTCCCAAAGCATCAGGCTAGGTTTTGGTTGCTGCAAAACAGTGGCAAAACGTAGGTTGCTTGAGTGGGACAAAAAGAATACGAGTGAGGGTGCATCTGATCATGTGGCGATGTGAACAGAAGTGCTTTCCGTACCCATCCGGTGTGTGCACTTGCTCCTCGCATATTTTCTGATGAAGCGAGATGGTGAAGGACGAAAAATGAAACCCCCCTCAAAGGTGCACCAACAATTGGGGAAGTAAGACGTAGCGCGTGATGAGAGCCTAAGGTACACGAAGGTTGACTGTCGGCTGGCGACATGGATGTGCGAATGGAACACAGACCTACATGTGATGACCAAACTCAGCTATCGCAAACAAACTGGACACGGACCCTTGATGATAATTACCTCCTTCGAGCAGTGTATTCAAGCATCAAGCAGGACGTTAAGCTGGACATTCCAACATTCTACAAGGAAGGAGACAAGGTTGAGCGGCTCGTCGATTCCCTTGCGCAGGCCATCATCTGCAGATATGCCGAGCACGTTCATGGCAGCACTGGCTCGCTCGGGAATTCACGACTGTAATCTCGATCCAAGAAAATCGAAGGACTGGGATCCGGCTCCTCCTCCGACCGTTTCTGTCATTAGAACATAATGCCTTTGAAGCTATCCAAGTCCAGAAAATGCAGCCACCTGTTGGCCTAAGTGCTTTTTTCCATGATCTTCACGGTGCTCATATGCAACTGCATATCAATAGTGGGAATTCATTAACGCCTCATAGAAACCTGCAGCTTCGGAATAGTAGGCACAGCTCTCTCATTTGAGAGGCTGCTCTAAGCATTGCTCTATAGGAAAATAAATCGAGGCCAGTGCCCTGACCCCTTTGGCCAGGATTCTGTACAAAGCATGCGGCGGAGATGTTCTTGCACGTAGACTGTCTGTGTGCTTTAATGCCGGACATCGTTCATGTTGAAGCAAAACTCTCGCTCCGCCACAGAAATCAGCGAGTCGTGGCCTTTTGTACAGCTCAGTCATCGCTGGTTCCAGCCTCCTTTACCGGCTTTAGCCTGGCAGTAATCAGCGGATCGGAATGTTCGGCTCTCTGTCTTTCTTGCATGCTTCCACGGGTGTGGGGCTTGGCCAAGCGGCTTTCTTTCTGGCTGCCGAGCCAAGCGTCTCTCTCTCTCTCTCTCCCTCTCTCCTTCCCATCTTGGCCTGGCCAGTCGGGCTTTGGCGGAAGCAAAGGCTGCAGCCACCTGCTGAAGAGAGGCGCTACGTTTGGTCCCAACAGGCTCAGCTATGCCACGCCACGCCAGCTTCACGTGATTGCACCTCTTTGGAGACCACCACGGCGCTTTGGTCACTTTCTGCTCGAGACTCTGAGGGCTCTGCCTCAGATGCTCTGCTCCGGCCGGAGCTGTGCAGACGGTGGCGACCCTCTTGACTCTTGACTGCCTCCTTTGTCTCCTCCGGGTTGCCAGCGCCAGGCCTGAGGATGGAGACCACTAGAAAGAGCAGACGCGTCAGCAGTCAGCATGCACGGTCAGCCCCGTCTGGCAGACGACGTGGTCAAACTGTGCACGGCTGGACATCTGACAGAGACGGTCAAGGAAGGCATGGCCCATGAGCAGTTGAAGATGGAGAGTCTTCGATGTTCAGCAGCCGAAACGAGTCCCCGTTGCTTCCGAAAAGGTGTCTTTACGGGGTTGGTGTCATTCAGCACGGGTGGCCTCGTCAGGACCCGATCTGGATGGAGCTCAGTAGATGTCTCCGATCACGAATTCCTTTGATCATGTATGCACCTTGTACACCCGCAGCTTGCGATTCTCGTTCCTGAAATCTCACCAACTCGTGCGATTCAAGCGATGAGTCTTTGCACCGGATGCGGCGCCCTTGTGCGCAGTGACACGAAGAGGTTGGACAGGCATGACGCGCAGAGCTGCAGCATCGTGGAAACAGCCTGAGATGCTCCTGCCTTGTGACGCGCTCATACCGCTGGCCAGAACCTCAGCCGCAGTCCGTGCAGTGTCTAGGGTGTAGGGAATCGAGGCACACAGCAGAAGTGGAAAGCCCAGTAAGCAGCGTGCCCATGCTTGATGAGGACGCCTCTTTCCTTCACGGCCGAATTGTGATCATCAGAATTTGTGCTCTGTCCATCGTCTCAAAACTCACTCAGTTTTTGTCTCTTCTGAGCACCCCGCTCGATCTGGTTCTGGCGCTGAGAATCTGCCAGGCAATTCGTGGACCGATTGGGGGGAGGGCACACCAGCTTTTCTGAATGGGTGCACGCTTTGTCTCGGATGCCATGCCCGTGCCTTCCTCTTCCCCACTGTGCGGCGAAACAGGGGATGCTCCTTGCAGCGAGTCGGATGGGCGAAGACTGGCCAAAGCTTTTAACTATCATTAACTGTAACTTGCAGCAGGTGCTTCCGGCTCCGTCGTTCCGAGACGCAGACACAGACAGAATGCAGACAGCAGTTGTGCTTTTCGAACATCCTCGGATCACCGGCCTTTGGCAGCTCGCAGCGCTGCAAGCGCCGTCTCCGACTTGGAAGATCGAGGACCTGCAGATGCTCTGGCTCTGCCAATGTGTCACACTGCGCAGCTACGTACGAGCGCAGCTATCGGGCATTCTGGGATTTTGGCCGTTTCGGCGCCATGTCTCCAGTGCAGAGGAGTGATGGCCAACAGGCGGCACGCCTCACTTCTCCGCTGTTTCGAACTGAAGCGAACGACAGTCTCCTTCTCTGGCCTGCTGGGAAAACTTCCGGAACCCGTCCATCCTCGTGCTCGTGCGAATGAAAGTCACTACATAAGACTCAACTCAAAGAGCTGGGGAAGCCGCTCGGCGTGCAGACCTCGTGCAGCAGACGTAGCATTGACGTACATTCCGGCGGCGACCATGAGAGCAAACTCGGGGCCCTGCTGCTGCTCCCTTCGAACCTTGACAGTGACTCTCGCATGAGACTGAGACAGCTTCGAGGAGAGCGCGCTAGCAGCACCGACTAAGTTTCCCCGCCGCTGAAGGCAAGACTTTCGGAGGTTCGCGCCCTGTCTCGAGACCTCAAAGGGCTGAGATGGCTGGCACGCTGTCGGGTCCGTGGGTCCGTGATGGTGCGCGGTCCTGGGCTCGGCGCGGGGACTCGAAAAGTGGAGGCCGGCTCTCCTGCCATGAGAGGAATTTGCCTGGCCCAAGCGTTTTCCGTACTTGGCCCTCGATGCGGCGGGCCGTCCTTTGAGGTGTCGCCTTTCCATGTGCCTCTGCAAAACGTCGGTTCCGTTGCGACAGGCCGCTGGAAGCGCGCTTAGACGTTGACCCTGGAGGGTGTTGACTGCACGGAGGACGCGAAGGAGGGCGACCTTGGAGCAGGACTCACAGCAGGGAACTGCGTTGTCTTCCTTGGGGCTTCCGATTTGCGAGGGAAGCCTTGTAGTTCGCGGAGCCAAGAATCACTCTGATAACTCCGAGAAAGTGTGTCTCTTGGCGACGACTTCGTGCTCGTCCATATTCCTGTCGAGTCCTCTGAGCCCCGACGCTTTGGATGGTCTTGACTGCCAGCGTCCGTAGATTTCAGCGAGCAGGCGAGCGCACTTCACGGCTTCACGGAAGCTTTCCGAGGCTCGAGCGGAATTGTAGCAATGTCTGGCGCCTCCAGCCGCTGAAGCTGAGCGCTTTCCTCCAGCCGCGCAGACACCTCCCGGATTCCCGGTCCCAAGGATTTCACCAATCAGATCATCCCAGGAAGAACCCTGCAGCCCAGCGTTGCCTCGCCTCCTCATGCGAAAGTCCAGACAGTCCCCGCGCCTGTCAAAAAGAGGAAAGACTCTCCGTGAGTCTCCATGACAAAAACCCAGTAATTCCGATGCCTCCTGTTGTGCGTCCTGCAGGTCATAGAACGGAATGGAGCATGAAGCCATCAATATCGAACTCTAGAGTCTTAGGCTCCTTAATCTGCCTCCACAGACTGTCAGTGACCTGGCGAAATGCGAGAGTTAAACCTCCACTGAGAGATGAGACTAAGGATGCACTCAGACGCACATAGACAGCTGGTTCTGCCTCCGTATGTTCGGCCCGGCGTCTCTCAAGCTCCTGTCCACTGTTTCTGGTCCCCTTCAACCGCACTTCACTTGATTCTTTCGGCGACCGCAGGCATCAAGTTCAGCTCTACAGGCTGCTACACAATGAAAGGACGGCTCCGACGAAGGGCAGCAGTTACTGTAAACTGAGGGCCCCGATCGAAACCGGTCAAGCCCGACGGAGAATTCTGGAACGCGACAGATGAGTTTCACGCGGGGCCGTCGATTCTGCCCCAACCTTTCCAAGTACCATCTTGAGAAAAATTCCAAATGTTCATAGCATAAGATGATGCTGACAGGGAAAGTGTTGTTGAGGCTCGGAATCAGACTCCTCATCAGAGCAGCAGAATCACGGACGTGTCTGCTGACCGACCTACTTGTACCAAGCACTTGCATTGTGTCTCAGTTGTGTTCTGATCACTTCGCAGACAACCCATCATTTCGGCCCACAGAAAATGGATGAACCGAACTGCTCAGCTTCTCCTGACGATGGACTGCCACTTCTCGTTGACGGTCCTCAGGAGCATGAATTTACGCACCCGCTCAAGAATCTCCAACCAATCTTGGCGTGTCACCGTCAGTGACGTCACGGAGGCCTCGAACCGGCGCTTCCACAGATCCGCGTCTTCCTGGAAAAGCCAGCGCTCTCACAGTGACGATCTGAGAGCCATAGTGTCAGGAGGTGGAGGCAATCCGGTGCTGCACGGACCAAAGCTGTCGCAGAAGGGAGTTTCGAGTGCATGCGAGACTTCTGGTGTCGCAGGCAATTTGGGTCTCTGAGTTCAAGCCTCAAGCAGATCCCGAGCAACTCACACCAAGTCCAGCGTAAGGTCAACGCTTCCGCTCCAGCGGACTGGACGCTTTCTGGGGATGAAGCATCCTGCACTGCGAATATCTACTCGTTGTGGATCCAAGTCCCCACTTCTTGGCTGAGAGGCCTCTGGTGGCTGCCTGGACAGACTGGCGGCCTGGTGCTCGCTGTAAAGCACGGGAGGCACTAAGTGAAAACGGCGGAGGCCTCACGATGAGCATCCTGTGCAGCAAACACGGTCGAGCCAAATCTTGTGCAGACATCCGCATCGTGGGCTAGTCGGCCTTGATCTTCCTCAGAAGATCACGCTTGACCTTGCTCTGATAGCTCTGCACACGAGCTTGCAAGCGGAGCAATGCTAGCATTCTGGCAATGCCTCTGCATGATCTCGTCGGTGCTTCTCCTGCTCCTGCCATGAATCATGACTGATGGCCAATGCTCCCAAGCCTTCGTTGTGCAGCAAGGCGGCTTGCTGCCGGTTTGCCACATTGCGCTGCAGAGCCTCGCGAGTTGCTGTTTGCTACTGCTACTGCTACTAGTATCACCACTACTACCACCACTACTCCTAATTCCTACTTCTCTCCACCTCCCACTCCCACTGCTACTACCACTGCTACGCTGCTATTGAAACCACTACTGCTACTGGTGGAACTGCACCGGTGACTTCTGCCCACCCCCAACTCCTGTAATGCAGTTTCAATGAACAGTTACCTTGCAATGCTTGCAACTAGCTGGGAGCCAGGCAGTGAGCTGTTTGACAGCCTCCTGGTATCGCATCTGCCACAAGTCTGCGTCATCCTCAGGGTGTTACCGGTGTTCACACTCCGGACATATTCGATCGCCAAGGTCCATTTCACACTCCGGACATATTCGATCGCCAAGGTCCATGCTTCCACCCGTGCCGATGGCATGGTATCTGGCGTTGAGATACCCTGCGCAGCGACATCCCGCAGAGTCCGGATGCGAGGCACTCGTGCGTACGAGAAGGCCTCAGCATCGTCCACGTCGCTCGGTTGAAGTATGCTTTCGCCGTTGAAAATCCCCTGAGGATCCAAGATCGGCACGGAAAAGAAGCAACAAGTTTTCCTGAGGCCGGGCCTGGAGACACAAATCACCCTTGTAATTTGGGAACTCCGTGACCTTTCCATGCGCACAGTCTGCCATTGGCCATCTTTGCTGCGACTTGCCAAGGCACCCTATTAGGGCCACTCTCCCAGTCCAATCCACCAGGCCTGGGCGGCCAGGCCGACCGAGGCTGTCTACGGCATGTCTACGAAAGTTCTATGCGCTGAGGGCGAGGCCGAACGCGGACAAATTTAAATTCCACGCGCTCGCAAGGGGAGATTGGAATTGGAGCCGGGGTCTCCTGCCAGTCCACCACTGATTTTGGCATCGTGTTGCATTTCCTATTTCCTTAACAAGTGCTGCATGTCTGAAGCAAGGCCGGCAGACCCAGGCACTACCTCTCCATTCCAGCCTGGCATAAGGATTTCACTCTCGGCAGAGGTTGGATGGACTAAAGCTGGCTCTGATGATCTCTGATGTCCCAATGACATTGACGCGTGACCGTACCATTCCTGTTTTGCCTGCCTTCAGCGTGCTTACTGGTGAACACAGGAAAGCTTGATCCACCGAAGACAATCAGGATTTGCGTCACTCGTTACCCAAGCGACGCCAAGAACTCTCGCCCCCATGCAATCGTATGACCAGTTTGCAATACCTAGACTGCCAACCGTGTTGCCGCACTTCGTGCAAGGCTGTGAAGGTCCGGGACAAATCGCCAGCAGCACTGCACCCCAGAGCTGAGATTCCAGTCTGAGCGGGGACAACGGAGTGCAACGCCGTCCCCAAGACACTGCACCCTCCCGCCCGGCCCAGCCCAGTAGGGAACGGACATCCAAATGCCTCGTGGGATCCGAGGACCTCAGACAGGACGGAGAGGGACGGGCAGTGAGGGTATTTCGCTTGGAGCTAAATCGCTTCCACTTCGCTTGGTGCTTTGCTGCAAACCGCTCTCCGGGGCCGGGAGCCTGCAGCTTCACATGGAGCCTCAGGACAAGGAGCTGTGAGAAAAACTGCGCGGCTGTGGAACATTTCCGCTGGCATAGCGTCACAAAATCTCGCAATTACTGCAGCCGCGATGTAGAACGGGATCAACCGTTCTGAGAAGCTGGCTTCAGCCTTCTAGCCTCATAGGTCCAAGACCGACTGCGCGCGGCTGTCGAAACAGGCACACCACAAAGCTCTGCACGTATCGATCTTGAACCGGCGACATTTGCTCTACCTCACCCGTGCAGATGCAAGCCACACTGCCAGGGACGAGCAGCCTGGATTGGTGGACTTCCGAGGCTCTGACTTGGGCCCGCATCCATGGCGAAGCTGGCAGATACGAAGACACACCCTGAAGAAGTTGAGTACTTCGACTCCCCCTCCGAAGCTCCATGGCTGATCATGGCTTGTGGCCCCATGTGATGGCTTGACTAAGACTGTACGACAGAGCTCTCTACCTGCGCAGACTTGTCGCTGTACGGCGACTGGACAGGCACTGCACTTGGCTGAGCATTAACATGACGCATGCTTTGCCTTGGCACGACGATTCCAGGTCAACTACCTAACCCTCTCACTGAGACCCCAAACCTGCAATTAAGAAACCTTCGGAAATAAAGCAAGGTCAGCACAAAACGAAATACTGCGACAGCTAAACCATGCTAAACCACCATACGAGTACGAACCATCCAACTTTTTATCTCCAGCCTCTGACGGACTATATGTAATGGTCAACAAACCATGTGCGGGCAGCATGCTTTGCAGCACTGCCAATAATTGGCTCATTAGCTCAACCCGGCAAGGCTATTGTGGCTCCCCACCGAGCCGCACCATGGCGTCCTAGCACAGCAACAGCGCATAGCAGCACCCTGCAGCACCCAGAACCGCCTCTGATCCATTCCATCCATGGGTCCTCTTCGCTGAGGAACTTCTCGGGCAGATAAGCCAGTGCCATGAATGGCCACAGCGACGTGTCAACCTGGTCTCCTGCAGAGCGGGACTATCAACCAACTGACAGTGACCAAACGTCGGGCCATCATGACTCCGCATGGGAAGATCATTCCATCATGCTTGCCGCTCTGCCCTACGCCTGCTTTGCCGCGGGCGGCGCCGTACTTGAATTCCATGACTTGGTCTCCTTGGGCGAAGTCCTTGCGTCTTCGAGCCACGACCTCTTGCATGAGGGAAGGGCAGCGAGTCTCTCACACCGCTGACCTGAAGCGCCTCATCCCGAAGCTCCTGCCAAGTCATCTCACCACCTGCTTCTGTCAGTGCTACCTGTCCGAAGTTGAATGCGCAGTGCAGACCGGCGTAATTGTGAGCTGCTGCGACACACTGTGGCTCAACGAGGCGAGCAACTGCGAGGCCTCTGCGTGCCTGCGCCAAATGTCAGCGTCGGCCTCTGTTCGCGGTGTGTCTCAGTTGCAAGCCGGGTACAGTGTGGTATAGACTAGAAAGGTCATCGCAAGAAATGCTGCAGGCAAAATACAATTCCGCAAGATGTGTCTTGCGGAGGAAGTGCTCTGCTCTTAGAGATACAGTCACCGACGTCTACGTGGCCGTTGACAAGAAGCGGCTCGGCTTACAGTAAAGTAAGCCTCACTACGGTAAGCAGCCCATAGCAGATAGCAGCAAAGAAGCAGCACGGTCGGCAGTCTTTCGGCCTTGGCTTCTCCCAAGACTGGGCCGCGGGTAAATCGCTTGTACAATGGATCGCTTCCGGCGGGCTCCTCTGTCAAAGCGCTTCACGAGCATGACTCAGGACGAAAAGCAGGTCTGAGCTGGTGGCCCATTTGGTCTTTGCTGAAAGAAAGAAGCCCTGTCCTGGCAGGAAGGCTCTCAAGTCATCTGCAGATCATCTGCATCTGCATGACTTCTCAAAAATCTTGTCGGAGGCGCCCCAGGGAGTCTGCTGTGCACCTTTGACACGGCCTAAACCTCCACGCAGTCCACGGGCCTCCACAAAGCTGTGCCAATGAAAAGAGCGCTGCCACAGCAAGCTGTGCTTAGAAGGATGAGCATTGCCCCGCAAAACCGGAGTCAAGCTGTTGAAAAGCACTCGAGAACGTTGTGCGTTTGAAGCCGGAAACTGAAATGAAGCTGCATAAAAGCTAGCTCATGTGATGTCACAGCTCGATCTTGAGCGAGGGGGGGCTATCTTCAGGGTACCTCTTTGCTTTCTTCCAGCCGGTCGTTCAAGGCCACCAAGTCATCATCTGCTGCCTCGGAGGCAAAGCCAGAAGAGCCGACAAATCTTCACATGAAATCTCTGGGCCCCTCTCTGCCATGCGGCAACACGGCAAGGGCTGATGCAGCAAAACTACAACGACTAGGGATTTATGCTGTCCAGGCCACAGCACAGGGGTCTCAGGAGCGATTTGCGGGACTTCGGGGGATCTTGAAAAACCTGAGCTTCCGAGACGAGGACGCCGCTCAAGAACAAGTGCTTCGACGGGGCGAGGCTGAATGCAGATGCAGCTCACCAGCAGAATGCACCAAGCAGAAGAGAGCGCTGTCTGTGGTTTGCAAAGGATGACAAAGCGATGAGAACCTTCTACACGCTTGCCTACGGCCGGTACTCCGAGCTCACTTTGGGCTGAGACCGGGCTGGGCCCTGGGGCTGGAATTCGCACATGCCCACACAGCCCTGCCATTTTGCAAGGCCGTGTCTATGAGGCCCTGTGCTTCGCTTTTGTCCGAATCAAGTGAAAACATCGGGAAGGTTCTCCTCGGTCGCCTTATGCTCCGAGACACGCAGCTCCACAAAGACAGGTCATGGAATGTAACGTGCACAAACGATACAAGGAGCCTGCGCTCTTCCAGAGGTACTGACACGTGCTAGCAGTGCGCTGTTACTGTAAGGGCTTGCCTTGCATATCTTCAGGTTCGAACCGGGCAGCCAGCGTATCGGGACTGTGCTGGAGCACTGTAGGGACCAGGTCACTAGTTCTACGATGCTGGCGACAACATGCTCGACAAAACACATTCCAAAGACGCATGCATGAATCGGCAGCTGAGATGGCAACCACACCTACTGGCTTTGAACGGGCAGGCCTCGGGACGTCGGGATTCGGATGTGGCCACAAGAGAGACAAAAGCGGGGTCGGGGCACATGGCACGTCTGACGAGGCTCTGACCATGGGAATGTTGCACACGCATGCGCTGCTCGCCCCACGTTCTGGCCGACACCCACAGAAGCAGACGAAGCAAAAGCCGAATTCAAGGGTGAGGGGCACTCTAATTAGGGCTTAGACCCGTGCACCTCGGCACAGCGCGACGGACAATTAGCATCTTTCGATCTTGATGCCTGGATGGCTCTGCAGTGGATGTGTCGGACTAGGGCAACAACACTCATAAATGTTCATGGCTCAGCTTCGCGCACAGACGGCTGCACACGGGGTGACTGTGGTTGAACCTCATGATAGCTTTGGGTCTATTAGGCTTTTTTGAAGTTGGTTGAACAGCTGCTGTGAACGAATCGCTAGTCGCGAAGCTTACTCAACCAAGGTCGGATGACGCGGAAGCAGTCTTGGCAGGGGAGTCAAATCTTCTGCTCAACAGGAGTATCCACCAAATGCATGTGGTCCGGTCGTCGGAACTGCAAGTGTTGAAGCTCCAGTGTTCAGAAATCATTCTGAAGCACGGTAATAGGGGGCATCCAAACCAATGCATTCCCAAACAATCTCGAGCTTGCGATGGGATCCAGCAGGAATGTGTCGTCAAGCAAGACGTTGATTGACTAACCGTGCTTTTCTAAGACAGAGACTCACATAAATCCTTTAGGCTTGATGAGTTGCTCTGGCTGCATTGCAAACCTCTGGTTTCACTCTATACTGCCGCTGTGCGAATATGAATCACCGCTGGACCACCTTGTGGAGGTGCTGACCGCGGCTTCGAAGCGTTAGGTCAGAGAGAGCTGGCGTCTTGCACTTGTGAGAGGCGATTGGCTTGCCAGCAGAGTTTGGCGGAGTCGCCTTCTTTAGGTTCTCTGGACCTCTGCACGTTGACGCTACCCCGTGGTCTTGTGCTTCGTGTTTCCCCAGCCAGAAACGACGACGCTATTCGCTCCGGTTGCTTGGTGGCTTCTCGATTTCCGAACAGCGCTTCGTTTTGCAGGCATGGAGTTCCTGCTTGTGATAGTCCGATAGCCGGGGCGAGTCTTTGTTGCACCGACTGAACCACCGCCATGCAGGGATCTACACAACTTAGTCCCGCGAAACACCATGCTGAGAATCTGACTGACTGACAACCACTCGGATGCGTCAATACGGTCATTGTCTGGATTGGGTCGAACATACAAGCATATGAAACAAAAATCAACTGATCCATTCTGCACACATACTGCTCCACCTCGACCCTGAAGCTGTGTAGGAGCAGACCAGATACGTACCACATGCTTCTTTCGGAAATCCTTCGTACGAATCCCAATCTGAATACCAGCACACTGATTGGTTGCAGGCCCTGTCCCATAGCCCCAATTGAAAAGCGTGAAACCATCCTGAACGGAGAAGGTAACCTCATCTCCAGAGTATGGAATACGAGTGCCCTGTAACCCGAATGCGGTAGCGGATTTGAATGCGTTGCAGATGTCATGTTGTCGACCAGCTTGTTTAAGTGAAAGGCAATTGTAAGTAATGAACCGCCACTTCTTCGCAGGCAGAGGATTGCAAGCCATAACACCACTAAGTGGCAAAGACCATACAAGTTCAGTCCCATCGGATACTACCTTCGAAGAGTCATTAACGCTGCATGCCCTTTCAGCTTGAACACTAGCGGCTCCATGCTGAGAATGAGACAAATCATCTCTGTGCTCGAGTGCGGATTTGACCTGCATGCAGCACAACAACTCGAAGTCGTTCGACTTTACTTGGCAGTGGTTCGACAACCACCTAGAACTGGAGATGCTAGACTGCTCTTCTGCTCTACCAAAGAGGCTGAACATATGATGATGACGTCGCATGATAATGATGATGACCATCATCATGGTGACGGGGAAGAGGAGGCGGAGGATGAGAAGAAGGAGGGTGAGGGCGCTGGCCTCGGCTGCCTCGGCTCGGATGATGGCAACTGAAAATCTGCATGATCATGCTGATGATGATGACGACGACGATGACGACGATGACGGTCGATGTCAGTGAGCATGATTGATTACACTGGTCGGTGGTGGTGGTTGTGGTGGTGGTGGGGGTGGGGTGTGGCCATGTGGTCTTGTAGTCTTTAAGCGCAGATGTAAGTCCCGGGCCGGGTCAACGACTCGCAGTTTTCAGCCCACTTTTTCCCTGCCTTTGCACAGACATTTAGCCAAACCAGCAAACGACCAGCAAGTCCACACAGCAACACACCTCGCTTGCCCATTGCTCTGCGGCGGCCCTGACACTGGTTTTTCGCGATTCCACCAAACCGTGACAGCCCGTAAGCATCTGAGGTCTGCTCCATTTCGTCAGCGCAGACCCTCCAATGGAACACCGGACACGTCGGCATTCCAAACACCTGGCTGCAAACTGGACGCGGATGATGAACACACACTGATGCATCCTCGCCGCCTCCCCTCAAATTTGCGTGACAAAAGGGTGCCAATCATGTCAGCTGCACACCTTCGTGACCGGCCCTGACTTTGCGATGTTCTGCTTATGATTCAAAGCCAAGAACAGGACACTAAAGAACTTGGTGCGCAACCATACGGGCACGGGCAGTTCTGGTCCCTTGTTGACGGTCCCTGGCCCAAAGCCTGCACTGCACGGCAGTTTGGGGAAAAAACTCACCCCCTCCCCTACATAACGATGCAACGACGGTGACGACGACGAAAGTCAGTGGCATTACTTTGCAGGATCATTGCCCCTTTGCACCGAACCAGAACCACAAGGTTTAGATCCACAGGGCTTTTTCGACAGAGTTGGCTTTTAAAGACGTTTACAGACTTTTAAAAACTTTCAAATGCAAGAAAAACATTCTAAAAACTTTTAGAAGACTTTAAAAGACTTTTAGAAACTTTTAGAAGACTTTTGCAAACTTTAAAAGACTTTTCAAAACTTTAAAAGGCTTTTAAAATATTTAAAAGACTTTTAAAAACATTAAAATACATTTAAAAGCTTTAAAAATACTTTAAAAGACTTTTAAACGCTTTTAAAAGCTTTTACAAACTTTAAAAAGAATTTGAAAGACTTTTAAAGACTTTAAACAACTTTTAAAATTTTTTAAAAACTTTAAAACAAAAAAAACTAATGTTTTTTCCGAGAAGACGAGGATGAAGAAGACCTGGCACAGGGTTTACAGTTTCAGGGTCTTTAGGGTTTGGGGTTAGAAGGCAGAGTGCCATAGTATTAGGGGTTTGAGGGTAATGAAAGGGTTAGGGTTAGAGTTTCAGGGTCTTTATTATATTTAGGGTTTGGGGTTAGAAGGCAGAGTGCCATAGTATTAGGGGTTTGAGGGTAATGAAAGGGTTAGGGTTAGAGTTTCAGGGTCTTTATTATATTTAGGGTTTGGGGTTAGAAGGCAGAGTGCCATAGTATTAGGGGTTTGAGGGTAATGAAAGGGTTAGGGTTAGAGTTTCAGGGTCTTTATTATATTTAGGGTTTGGGGTTAGAAGGCAGAGTGCCATAGTATTAGGGGTTTGAGGGTAATGAAAGGGTTAGGGTTAGAGTTTCAGGGTCTTTAGTATATTTAGGGTTTGGGGTTAGAAGGCAGAGTGCCATAGTATTAGGGGTTTGAGGGTAATGAAAGGGTTAGGGTTAGAGTTTCAGGGTCTTTAGTATTTAGGGTTTGGGGTTAGCAGGCAGAGTGCCATAGTGTTAGGGTTTGAGGGTAATGAAAGGGTTAGGGTTAGAGTTTCAGGGTCTTTAGTATATTTAGGGTTTGGGGTTAGAAGGCAGAGTGCCATAGTATTAGGGGTTTGAGGGTAATGAAAGGGTTAGGGTTAGAGTTTCAGGGTCTTTAGTATATTTAGGGTTTGGGGTTAGGAGGCAGAGTGCCATAGTGTTAGGGTTTGAGGGTAATGAAAGGGTTAGGGTTAGAGTTTCAGGGTCTTTAGTATTTAGGGTTTGGGGCTAGAAGGCAGAGTGCCATAGTTTTAGGGTTTGATAGTATTAGGGATGCACAAATCGCGTGAAGTGGCTACGAACTGCTGGATGTTGCGCTTTTCTGCGTTGACCACACTGTCAAGCGAATCACGTGCAGGCGAAGCAGGGTACAGCTGGGTGACGCGACAACGTCTGGCACTCTGCCTTCCCAGCTGCTGGCACTCTGCCTTCCCGCCTCAAGATCCATTAATTATTGCCACCCCAACTTTGCACTCAGCTGGTCGGTCAAAGGTATTGCTCCAGCATCAAGGTCAGGAAGTTCCCCCGGACCACCGAGACGGATGGCAACAAGTGAGAGGTGTTTCATCTGAAGGACAAACTGCCGTTGTTGTTCATCTTCGTCGTTCCAAACATAAACAAAATCACAAACGAGAGAAACGCGCGGCAACTCCAGCGGTTCTTCTCCTTCACCCACCTGATAACACTTCGGGAAGGGGCCTTGGTACCGTCGAAGAAGCCTGAGGCCTCCTGTAATGCGGGAGCCAATACGTGGCCAGTAACGCAGGTAGCGAACCATGATTTCCCAAGGCACGTCGTCATAAACTTCATTCCATCTCTCAGCTGGTTTCCACTGGTCA